GGAGCTGTGGGTTAAATAAGCATGACATATCACTCTGGAGAGCTCCAGCCAACGCACAAAGACATTTATACACTGATGAATTACATGGCCAATTAGTCTAGATGATAATATCTGCTGTGCTGAGAGGAAGCTACGAAACTGCGACAATTTGTATTTTACCGACATTTGACAACGGCCGTCTTTCCACGCTGGGAGTGAAGGGGGGGGGGGGGGTGGGTGATAGCCGTTTGTATCATTCCCTTCCAGTTGGGAGTGAAAGGGAGCGATGGCCGTTTGTACCATTCCCTCCCAGATGGGAGTGAAGGGGAGCGATCGCCGTTTGTATCATTCCCTTCCAATCGGGAGTGAAGGGGAGCGATAGCCGTTTGTATCATTTCCTTCCAGTCAGCGTTCACAGGGCCAATGCTACATTTTCAGAGCGCTGTGGTTCTCAGTCCCTGCCCCGCTCCCCCGTTCAAGCGGCCTGATGACTTACGGTGGTGCAGCGCAAGGCACACGAGGAAGTTGCATGGCAATGATCATTCACGAGAATGCCAGTTATTCGCCGCATGACTTCTCGCTCCTATATTTTTGACCTCAATTAAAAGCTAAAGGCGATCTATTAGTTATAGCCTACGAGGATGTTGCAGTTTAGAAGATAGGAGATAGTGCGAGTTTAGAAGATAGTGTGAGTTAAAATAGTGCGGGTTTAGAAGATAGTGCGATATTTCAGAGGGACTGAATGCGAGGCAGGTGCTTTCTGTCAAACATGAAGTGATTTTCACCTCATCAGCTACAACAGGGGCGATAAGTGCAAAGTCGGTCATGATAAACTGCAGCTGCGATGTATGCTGCGACCGACTGGCCCGGCAGAATGGACAGCGTGTGGTGGTCCGAACCGTCAGACCGATCGAAGAATGTTTTAAGCTCTTATGATGTCATATGGAACCGAAGGACTCACATACAGGCTCACGATTTTATGACTCGGACTCGGACCCAGTCTCCTGGGACTCGGACTCGTATCATGTTTGGGACTCACACCCATCCCTGAGTGGCATGGTGCAGACCTGGCTCCGTCATGCTGGCACACAGTCCTATTCAGCTTGTGCATGAAACAAACCTCGGACACTGCACAATAACAGCCCACGCCTAATGAAGCAGACAATAAGCAGCGTGCAGCGACTGTCTCGCGGCTGCCAGACCTGCCGCGTGCATGTCTCGCCTCGTTACCGGCCTGCCAAATCCCAGCCACACATACGGCGCGAGACAGGTCGGTCCATGGCGCGCCATCGGCCAAGCCGCCGCCGCCGAGACGCGCCAAATGGAGATGGCACATGATACTGCACCACTGATGGACTCGCCCTCTGATGTGGCAATGCTATTGACTAAACAGCGCGCCAGGCGTGCGCCGAGGGGAGCTGCCGCCGCCGGACCCAGCCCGGACGTGTCCGAGCGGAGGAGGCCCCCGGTCGGTACCGGCGCCGGTCGGCGGCACAGCCCCGAGCTACTATGAGAGACCCCAGGAAAGTATGGCATTGAACGATCTCCGTACACGGACGGGGGCTTAAGGACGTGGTTAATGCGTCCCCGCGTCTCTCCGCGGAGATCACGCGAGAAGCACACATGACACAGGTCCAGGACTCCGAGTCAGAGTCAGAGTCCCAAGTCCAGCCCGTCACGCTGGCGTGACGACCTGGGTGTTCCCACGCTGACAATAATCGAGCTCCGATACGCTGGGGAATACTGATTGAACGACATCATAAAGCGGACATTGGTTGAGTTCTGTCATAGCTACGGAATAGTTTGTAAATACAGCCAATACCTGCTTAATAACGTCGTTAAACGGTATCTAGCAAACGGCAAAAATGCCCGGGTGGATTATTGTCAGCATAGCAACTCCTGTCTCATAACACTGAAAAAACCACCTGTAGCCAGTTTCTCAAAACAGAAATTCGTAGATTTTTGGCGTAAATCGCATATTTTTGGCGTACAATTGTAAAATCCAGGTTCTCAAAGCAAAAATGTACAACTTACAACTACAATCTACGACGCTGAAAAAATACACAGAAATGTACAACCTACGACACAAATATACGCAAACAATCTTGCGTTAGGTTCTCATAGCCATACACAAATTACGTCACAACGTACATTCTGATGCAGGAAGACCATATTTGGCAACATAATCAACGACACCCAAGCTTGCGTGTTTTTAACATTCTGTCAGTTCCATATACAGTACTCAAGAGGTCCTCACTTCCATTTACATTTCAAGAAGCTGTAAGTAAGTTAAAGTTAAAGCATTAGCTAAGTGAAAAATGGAAGAGCAACATCATCAACCCAGGGGAAGAAGTCAAAGGATCTATAGACCAAGGATAAATCTCAGGTGGCAAGTATCTGAGAGCTTTAGGTATGTTATGTGTCCTCTATGGTATTTGCAAGAAAGACTCAAATCATGTTAAATGACAATGGTTGTGAAACGATCTAATTCATTTGCATGTTAAGCATATGTTACAGAAACCTAAGTTTCTAATTCACCGGCATACTGAACATATGTCACAGAAACCTAAGTTATACACTGACACTTGCTACACATGCCTACTTGCATCCCATACTTGCAAGACATCTATTTTCCAGGATGAGATTCAGGATATCAGCCAACATGGCTGAAACTATTCCTGGTCACATAGGACCACAATTGGTACATCCTACTGAAGATCATCAGTGCTTGCATCTTGTACGTAGTACATAGCTGGGCCCGGGTCCGAGATAAAACCCCATCATGCTCACAGCCCGTGCATCTGGGTTTGAGCCATTAGATGCTGAGTCAAGGGTCGAAGTCCCTACATGAATGTTTAAATATTAAGTCCGAGTACACAACTTTCTCAGAGATCACAAACGGCACATAAGGTGCCATACCAGATGGTTAGTGGTAACAGGAACAAAGCAAACTTACAGTGAACTCGTCCTTATTCAACCTCGGTGCTGCGCCGGTGCGGCCAACGTCTGGCCGGGCGCTCAGATGGGGGTCAGCTTGACCCCCTTCCCGAAGATTTTTCGAAAAGGGTTTTTGAACGACGAGGCGCAGCCGCGCCGAAATCTGCAGAGCTGTGGAAATTTGAATAGCGGAGCGCTTCGTATCAACAATTTAGATTTACCTTAAAAGGTCACTGATCTGCGGCAAGTCAGTCATGTCTTGGATTCAGCGAAGTCAATTTGTAGGGAATATTTCAATCTGATGCAACAATTGAGCGTTAAACGAAGCAACACATTTCTGAGATACGTTCTTATGGCAACTTAGGCAACATCACATAGTACGGTATGGAATACCTGCCAGGACACTCTATGCCAAGCTATCCATTTTACATGTACTGTGTTGGGTATCATTTTATGGTATTACAATGTTTATCCTTTTGGATTGTATCGCTCAGGCGTGGTTAGGACTTCAATGGAAATCAAAGCTTAGTTGGTGTCCGTGGTTTTAATAATGGCTGAGTCCGAGTGCTGGTGCCTCGAGTCGGAGTCTGAGATCAGCCGTAAAATAACCTGATTAAGCCGACTCTCACCCGGCCTTCGATATGTCTGAGTCCGGGCGCGACACCGGCTCGACTCAGGCCTATGCCTAGTGGGTAGAATCGTGTTCAGATGTACCGCCTCCTGCTGTTTCGGTCTACCATGCATTTTTTCGTTAAAATGGCTGGGCCAAACTGTGGCTCCCTGGTAGTAACAATACAGCTCAGCGACAGACGTAGGAGATACGAGATTTGGCATGCGAAATCTGTTAGCCTTACCAAAAGAGGCCGAATACGTGGACGGTACTGTAAAGTGCGAGCACACTTTCTGCACCTTATTCCATGTTTTCAGAACACCTTGACGTGTTCCTGTTTTCGGGCCGCATAAGCATGCATTTCGTCGGCAAAGCTATGGCAAGAGCGCTGCAAGCAGTCACGTCGTAGCCGACACTCTTCACCAGGCGGCAATCCCAGGACTGGCTGGCCTGCGCGCAAACCCTCCAGCCGGGCGCTTTGTTTACACAAGCTGATCGCGTCACGTCGAGCATGCGTTGTCACCCCGCGAGCACCCGTCAGTACCCGCAATCCCGGATTAACGGACTGATTAGCTAGCATAAGCGCCCCTTCCCCTCCGCCAGACGCCTTTTACGCCTCTTCTTCGAACAGTTGAGCAACCATCTACCAGAGCAACAAAACACGAAACCACAGAAGGAAGGAATCGCGTTTATTAGACATAGGTAAGCCTTTTTACAGGTAGAGATGTCCCTTTCCAGAGCGGCCCGCCCGATCACAGCTGAGACTATTCATACAGATCACCATCGCAACTAAATGCACATCCAGAACGGAATAATAATACAATATATTAGATACCGTAGACATAAATATGCCCGCCAACACACGCAACACGCCAACGACCAAGCGCACACCTGACGCCCGCCCGGGGCTCCGACTTCGGACGCGAACAGTAAGCACACCGACGGCGTGACCCCAAATCAAGATCCCAAAATAAAAGCAAGTAACTGCATCTCGTGTGGCACGGGTATGTACAACGACGCCCTCTCCTAACCGAAAGCAAAGTCCTGCAATTTGCCTACGTCAAAGAAGCAGCCACACAGTATGTTCTGTTACATGCGTCTACGCTGTAAGTTGGATATACTGGTAGAGTCGAGAGAGACAGCAGCCACACGGGGGTCCGTGGAGCGCGCGCAGCCAGCTCGGATGCCGTCGGTGCGGCACACAGACAGTGCGAGGGGCGCCACTGGCCGCCACCCTGCCGGGCCGGGCACAACAGGCCGGTGAGGCCCGGCAGAGCGGGCTCCGACGGGCGGCCAGCTGCGGCGGCGTGCCGGCCCAGCCAGCGGCCAGGCCCGCCCATCACCTGGTGAATCAACACCGGGCGCGGCAGCCCTCGGATTTCGCGCGGCCGCGCGGGCCCGTGCCCGGAGCGGGAGGCGCCGCCAAGGATGCGCTCTGCCGCTGCGGGACGGCGTCTTCACGCATCTTGACGTCTTCGCCAACGGTACCCACTGGGACGCAGACCAAGCTCCATGATCTCGCGCCGAGGCGATCACGATCCGAGCGCCTCGCGCGCGCTCTCTCCTGTCTTCACATCAGCCGTTATCCGGCGGCCACGGCGCCGCCGGGCGAGTGCTGCCGTCTGGCGGCGCGATGGTGCTGCCACCTGCGCGGCGCCGCTTAGAAGCGGCGGTCGCCGGCGCCGCCCTGGGCCATCTGGCTACGCACGGCGTTGGAAGCGAAGTCGGCCGTGGCGCTCTGGACCGTCTCGTTGCGCATGACGCCAGTGGCGAACTCTTGCTGAGCCTTGCTGATGCTGGCGCCCGTGGTGCGGTAGATCTTGTGGACCTGGGTGCGGGGGGCGGCCGGGGTGACGGATTAGAGCAGGTTACCGACCGCAACTATATCCAGTCCACACCACAGTAATAGCTCATCCATATGACACTGACAACAGTTCATAAAATCACGTTATTACGGCAAATGCATATAACAGACAGCAAAACATCGAGAGATACGAATGAAATACGAGCTGGATGCTGCAGCCACACGCAAACAACTTCGAGTTTTCATACTTAGTTCAATGGCTTGGGGTGGGGTGAATGGGACACCAGGATGGGCCTTAGAAGCCGACTCCACTGCGTTCACCCAAGGGGAAAACAAATGCGAGACAAACCCTGACAGTGCACTCCAGAGACGCCCGACTACTGGAGCCAATGATCGGAGCTATCGCTGACGGCTACCAACTCAAACTGCAAAAGAAAGAAAGCAAACAATTCACTGCTCGCCAGCACAGGCCTCTTCGTTTGTGCTTCCGTCGAATGGCGGGCCTGGTAGCAGGCCCCGCTGGCGCCGGTCTCAGTGAACCAAATCAGCATGCGCACGCGTGGGCACGGCACTCTAACACGCACTCAGGTCTGTGTGCCCCGGACCGGACCTGCGCGCCCCACGCAGCATGCCAGCTGGTAGCAGTGTCCGAGTCCTGGCGGCTGATCCCCCGAGCCGCGCTCCAGCAGGGCGGCGGCCAGCCGGCCACGTGGGCCGACGTGCAGCGCAGACGCGCAGCGGACGCCGCACCAGGCAAGCTGCCGCGCCAACACGACGCCTGAATCGCGGCAACGGACGCCCGGAACATCCACCTGGACAGACACCCCCTGCAACCCAGAGCCTGAACCTCACCGTACATGCAACGTGCGTCAATCCGGACAAGACCGCGCCGCAGCCCGCCACCGAACACAGCCAAGCCGAACCCTTCGTACTTCACGCCAGCCGGACCAACACCACGCACAGCCAGAGCCCGACTGGGAAGTGGCGTTGTCGTCCGGGCCGCGCCGACTGGCGGCGGCCCGGCCAGCTGGCGCATGGCGCACCCAGCGCCGGGCGCCACTCACCCGGAGCCGGGCGCCACTCACCCGGCGCCGGGCGCCACTCACCCGGCGCCAGGCGCCACTCACCCGGCGCCAGGCGGTACTCACCCGGCGCCGGGCGGCACTCACCCGGAGCAGCAGGACGCAGCAGGCGGCCGCCACCACCGTGAACGCCACCGCGATGCAGGTGGTGAGCAGCGCCAGCACGGCCGACACCGAGTACGTGCTGAAGGCCACCGCCCAGCCGCTGGCGGCCACGGCACGCTCCGTTAGTCAGAGCGGCGGTGACAGCGCCAACAGCGCAGCGGTCGGGGCGGCTCGCAGAGAGGCCCCTGGAGCCGGACGGCAGGGACTGACAACGTCCCGCCCCGCCCAGATTCACTTCAGATTGGCCGGCCCGTGCTGTGAGACGACCTCGACTGAACCACACCTGAGCCGGAGCGGAGCCGCGGTCCGACGCAGCCAAAGCAACGCTGCTGAAGCGCTCGCGGTCGTTGTCCAGCCGCCACCAGGAGGGCAGCAGCAGCCGCAGGGCTCCGCCGGCCGCGGCCGACCGGTGCTGACCCCGCTCGTCGGACACGGACGCCGAGCCGGCCGCCTGCGCGGGCCGTCTCGCCCAGAGCCCGGCTGGGCGCCCGTCGCCACCCCGACGCGTCCCAGGGCCGCGTGTCGGTGCCAGCATCGACAGTGGACGGCTACGTCTCATACCGGCGGGCTGGCACAGGGCGGGCCGGGAAGACGGCGGAGCCTGGACGTTGCAGGACGAGGCCTGACACGTACCGTGGCGCCGGCCAGGGCCAGCGCGCGGACAGACGCCGTCCCAGGCGATTCACACGCGGCCGGCTCTGGTCGACGGAGCGCATGCTATTCGAGGTGACTCTCCCCGTGACATGTACGACTACTGGAGCGTGGAGCCTTGAAGACGAACTGGTCGAGGAAACCTGAAACCATCGATATGGCGACTCCGGCTTCTACGAGTCCTCGTCCGCTACTGGATACCGATGGTACACCCAATCCAGACAGAAGGCCACACCCGGCCAACCTCGAGTTCTGAACGGAACCGCCGATCCCGACGCTGTCACGCGTGGCTGGCGTCTGCTGGCGACCATCTGAACACAGCCGCTGGGCGGCGGGCGCGCCTCGACCCGCGGCCACGGCTAGGGACTCGGTGGCAGGGCGGAGCAGGGGGTAACGGGGTCCGAGGGGCACCGCTGACCTTCACGATCAGGATGAAGTCGCACAGGGCGACGAGCCCGAACCCGATGCCGATGAGGAGGGCCAAAATGCCGACCACGTAGTTGCCGGCCGTCTGTCCGGCGCCGATGGCAGCCAGGCCGTTGATGATGCCGCTGCCAGAGCACGGGTCAGTCAGCAGGACCACCTCCCCGGTCACAGGTCAGTCAGCAGGGCCATCTCCCCAGTCACAGGTGGGTCACAGGACCACCTCCCCAGTCACAGGTCAGTCAGCAGAACCATCTCCCCGGTCACAGGTGGGTCAGAGGACCATCTCCCCAGTCACAGGTCAGTCAGCAGAACCTCCCTCTTTGGTCACAGGTCAGTCAGCAGAACCTCCCTCCTTGGTCACAGGTCAGTCAGCAGGACCTCCCCTCGTCAGTCACAGGTCAGTCAGCAGGACATCCCTCCTTGGTCACAGGTCAGTCAGCAGGACATCGCCGGTCACAGGTCAGTCAGCAGCACCTCTCCTCCTTGGTCACAGGTCAGTCAGCAGGACCGCCCGTGGGGTCGGACGGTCTCGGTCAGCGGCACCGGACCTCTGACGCGGACCATGAAAGCAAGGTCAGATTCAGAGCCGAGGCAGTAATGGCACCGCACGCGCACGTAACGCTTTGTTCTGGCAATGCCACGAAACAACACCAGATGACATATCATGTGGTAACCTGTTACCGAGGACGCGCAGTCCTAACCGACACGAACTGAGCTATCGGAGTTACGGCAACCATAGCACGCACACTATCCAGGCCGCATCCGAATCTCACGTCTTCAGGCTATTGCGAACACGCTGCATACGCATCACCTCCCGCTCACAACGTCCCGCCGGAATGCTTACCCCGCTGACGCCAGTCACGTGACGGGACGTGACGGCGGCTAGTACGACTGGCTGGGGGTCACACTGGGGACAGTCTCCGCACAGATGAGCCCGACTCACCGACAAGCTGGGGACTCGAGTGAGCACCACTCCGACCGGCATTGGCACGTTAACCTTTCACCATGAAACACTGCAGTGACGGGATCTCCCCGGACGCCTCCAGATTGCGCCGGTGTTTGGTGACACGGCAGCAGAGGGGATCGCGCGCGCGTCAGGGCTAGGCCGAGAGCGACACTCACCAGGCACCCAGGTTGTTGATGCCGATCGCGTGCACGCTGCTGACCATCAGTTGAAAGAAGAAGACGAAGAAGAACACCATGAAGTTGAAAGAGCTGTCACTCCTGTAACGGGAGCATGGCCGTCGTGAGTGTTGTGTTATAGCAGACAGATGCGAGAAGTTCATGGTTCGCTATAGCTCCACTTATTTCAAGCGGCATCTGTGCGGTGATGACGTAATCTGGGTTTCCACCGCCACCGCTGTCTGTCCGTAAACCATTATCAGCGTGAGGCCAGCGATAGCGTGCCGTTCTCGGGAGGTGGCCGGGCCACTGATACCGTACCCAGCCCGCCGGCGGCACGCGTCGCGCCACTCGCCTGAACGCCTTGTAGATGGGTCGGAACCAGCACACGTAGGAGGCGGGGAGTGAAGAGCACGAAGTAGAGCAGCGCGAGGCCGAACATGGAGAACTCGCTGAACTGGATCATCATGGCCAGGCCTCCGATCACGTTGATCAGCAGCACCAGACTGTGGACTGTATCAGACATCTCGTCACCGCCGGCAGAGGCAGAGCTTGGCGACAGCGCTGGGAATTCGCTGATCAGCAGCACCAGACTGTGGACTGTATCAGACATCTCGTCACCGCCGGCAGAGGCCGAGCTTCGCGACAGCGCTGGGAATTCGGGGGCATCCCATAGGTGCTCTTTAATACGTTTTGGTACACCACATTAGTGATTCAATAAAAATGGTGTAATTGCTTGAAACGTGCTGGGAAAAGGACCTTGCTGAGCGAACACCTCAATTAGACTATTGCAGAACAACTGTGCAAAATTGTGAAACAACCCCATAGCATCTGCTTTGCGGTTGGCATATGCATATGCAGGGACGTCTAGTCCAGGCATTCACTCTGCCTAATCGACACACATGCGACCAACCGATGTAACACTGCTCTCCGGTGGTTTAACATGGCCACAAAACCACAGCCACCTTACTCCAATGAGACACAAAACTGTTTCAAACTCGCGACTGCACACACGCTATGGCAGAGATAGTATCCGCCACTGCGTAGCTCAGGCATGCGGCGCTATTCGCGCATGATAGCGAGTCATCAAAAGCACGCTTACGGCGCCAAGCAAACACACCAATCAGCTAAGCATCTGGCCACCGCCACCACATCAGCAACCGATGCTGGCTTGAAATGCTCAGGTTCAAATGTTCCAAGTTCCTCGTTATTCGATCCATATGGCAATATATTACTCGGCACGCGCGGTCCTCCAACGTGTGCCAACCGCGCGCTGCATACGTACGTCCCCAGAGGTAGTACAAGTGGCGCGTGATCTTCTGAAACTCCAGCGGAATGTCGACGTTGATGTCCTGGTAGAAGCAGGGCCCGACGGGCACGAAGGCGGGCAGCGGCGGCCAGTTGTTCTGGCGGGCGTTCAGCTGTCCCGTGCGCAGCGCCTCCTCGCGGCGCCGCAGCTCGGCGTCCTTGCGCTCCAGCTCCTCCTGCTGACGCTGGCGGACACGGCACGGTCGGCGAGGTCACGCCTCTGGCGCGGCGGCGGCGAGCGCGCCCGGCGGCGACGGTGTGCGTGCCCGCCCGGCGGCGACAGCGCAGGTGGCATGCGAAGAGAGGTGATAGGCGGGAGGCGAGACGAACAAGACATAATCTGGAGCTAAAAGTCAAGTTTCCGTTGTGTGGTATATACACCGTCTGGACCGGTCTCGCACGAAAGTCTTTCACAAGGACCGGTCTCGCGTGAACGCTGAACAAACCACTTAGTTGACTGCAAATGAGATTCGATGGATTGGGAAGACGAATCACGAGGTGCCGTGCCCATGGCCACTTCAGCCGTAAAATATCTTCCCAATGACCCCATTACAGCATCCACGGACACTCACAGAGTCTTTAATAGAAACCACACCGGGCTCAAGCAGCCATGTACGCCGTGCCTGCTGCAGTAATATACCGTCGTGCATTCGGAAGGCCCTCTGGGACTCACAGACCATCTACGTTTCCACTTCTTGGTACTACTCAGGAAAAGTGCAGGACAAAACTGTAGCACTAAATTGGGACACGGCTGCATTTACGGCGCGTACGCAAAACAACACCGACATCAAGGAATAGGTCAGGGGACGCCGCTGAAAGAAAACAGGCAAAGAAAGCTCATCTAAGACATAAGCGACAGGACAGAACAAAGAGGTGCTCAGTACATACCCGTAGTGCCTGAAACCAGACAGAAATAGCCCATTAACCCTCAGCTGAGAAACAGGATGTGTACTTCAACATACACCAGTCTCTCAAACATCACGGAAACGCTCGAGCGTCACGATCCAAGACCAACACCATGGCGACAGAACAGCCCGCCGCTGCTGCGTAAGCCGTACCACGTGAGCGGTTCCCGCCGTCGCAGCCCGGCTATCTCACTCCGTGCTCCGAGTGGCGGCTCGGCCGTCCGGCGGCACCACCCCGGCCCCGGCCAGACAACGGCGGCCCCCGCTAGGGTGGCCGTCGGGTGGCCCCACCCCGGCCCCGGCCAGGCGGCGGGGGCCCCCGCTAGAGCGGCCGTCGGGCGGTGCCACCCCGGCCCCGGCCAGGCGGCGGGGCCCCCCGCTGGGGCGGCCGTCGAGCGGTGCCACCCCGGCCCCACCAGTGCTGGAGCGGCAGGTCGAGCGGTGCCTTACCTGTAGCTGCTCAGTGTTGACCTGCTGCTGGGCTGAGGCCGTGTAGGCCGGCGGTTGGCTGTCAAGCGTGGGCGACATGACGGCCGGGGCGGCGCCGGCCGTCGTCGTCGTCGCCGCCGCCGGCGCGGCCGGTCGCGCCTGCTGCTGCTGGTCGAACGGGTTGTACTCCTCCAGGCCGCCGGCGCCGCTCTGCGTGGCCGTCTTCACGGCCGGGTCCTGCGGGGCGCGCCGACCGTCATGCTCGCCGTGCTACACGTCCGACCTCGCCGGCTACCGCCACAGCTCGCTGACGCCGACAAATTGCCATTCCAGATGGAACTAAATTGACGGAATCCAATGTCAACATCGTGATATGCTCAGTGGGACCGCAGCGGAGAAAACGTACACTCCGAAGCAACCAAAGTAAACATTCCCGTTGAGCGTTGTGGCAATCAACTTTTTATTTGTTGGCCAGTTGTCAGCTACCACTGTCCATAGTTCCATCAAAGCAGAGCACAACAGCAGCACAGCAGGGTTTCATCCCACTTAACATATACCAATCGAGTTTCATCCCATATAACATATACCAATTGAGAGTTTGTACTCACTTAAGCTATACCAATTGGGAGTTCCATCCCACTTAATTTATACCAATTGAGAGTTCCATCCCATATAGCATATACCAACTGAGAGTTCCATCCCACTTAAGCTATACCAATTGGGAGTTCCATCCCACTTAGCATATACCAATTGAGAGTTCCATCCCACTTAGTATATACCGATTGAGAGTTCCATCCCATATAGCACACCAATTGGGAGTTCCATCCCACTTAACATATACCAATTGGGAGTTCCATCCCATATAACATATACCCATTGCTGTGCAGCCCTTGCACTGCTACTCAGAATTCTAAGTCTTTTATGTTCCATTGAACAAAAAACGCTGGTGGGCACACCTTTTGCTTGATTCCATCCAAGGTGCTCAGGTGGGATTCAAGTAGTGCTTTATCAAAAGCACTAGTAGAAAGGCATGTGGCTGTCATCGATGGTTATTTCTAGGCAGTCATTGAATCTGATGTGACAATAGGGCGTTAGACCAAGCCATACATTTCTGAGATAGTTTTTTTAAGATATACACCCACTGAAGTCAGAATTATGCTCAATTCCAATGACCTAGAGCCAAGTATGAAGGTCAGACCAAGATCAAAACTAACCTGCTTTTTCATTGAAGAGCATGGCTTTAAGGCATAGTTTCTGGTCCTCCCCTCAAATTTATCTATAATGGAGGCCACAACAGACATGTTTCATGCACTTTTTAAATGTCAGATTAGGCCACTGACCTAAAATCATCCAAGCCAACAAGTAGTTTTTAGGAAGATACTGTCTTGCATAATCCCTGATACTTTTATGTCTCACATAATCCATGATACTTTTAGCAATGACAAAATTGCAACAACACCATAATTCTTTGGTCACTCTGACCTTAAGGTCAAATGACATAACTAAGCTTAAATAAACACCAATAGCCTTTGGATTAGAATGGGTATCTAGGCTCAAGGCAGTTGCATGCACTGGTCTGGGAGCACTTTCCATACCAATCTGGAGACTTTGTTTGACCTTATTTGACCCCAATCTAGGAATATCAAATTCGTTCTTGGTGATTTCACATACAGGTATGCCTACCCTGTGAATTCGGCATCTCTGGCTATTTTAGATTCCCAGATCTCAGGGCAATGGTCAAATTGCCCCTCCCGGCCCAACAGAGTAAATGCTATTAAAAGAGACAAAATAATGCTAAAAGGGAGAGTATGTATTTAAGAAATACTACAACCTTGCCTTTTCCATTTTAAGCTATGTTTTTTACTTTGTGCTATAGCATCATCTTCAGCAGTTTGATTGTAAGCATTTCTGTAACCCTGCATGCTTGCACCATTCAAAAATGAATGGACACTATACAGCAGACTTACACAACCTCTGAAATAGAGAATAGCTACACAGCAGGCATCCCAAGATGCACCTCAAAAATTCACCATTGCCAAAAGGCATCCAGTGATGTTCACTTGTCATCCTACTGACAGCATTATCATCAGCTTCATGTCTCCACAGCTCTGCTGATATGTTTGCACAGTCCACTTACTAGCAAACATTTCCCCACTTTGGTGGTCCACCAGAGCCTTTCCAAGTTATGTCAGGACTGCAATGTGTGCAGAGCATTGAATTCAGGTTCTGTCCATTTGTGGGAGCAAATATAGCCTAAAGCCTGTGGGGGACCTAGCATACAGCCATATCAGTGGCCCAAGCCACCACTTGGGGGCCATGTGAGTTCCTGTGCACCTGACAGAAAACATATCTCCCCAAACAGTGTCTGAATTGTTAACATAGGAACAAAGCACACCATACAGCTTCACAAAATAGCATTCACTTGATATTTCACCATCTGCTTCAGTTGACAGAAAGCTTGATAGGTACAGTCATAGGCTGTGTGACAATGACTGCTCAAAGATTTTAGGTCCATTCTGAGTCAACTGGTGTCAGCTGTCAGAAAAACTAAGGTGTACAATTGTACATGACATTGCAAAAAGTTAATAAGAAAAATGACTGATCACTTCATTGACCACAGACCACAATGAAACACACCAGATAAATGCTACAAGTGAGCCAGGAGCCCTAAAAAAGATTCCACATTCCCATTAACATGGAACCCTATGTGGTTTCAGATCCACCCATGGGAACCTTACACATTTGCTAACACAATGTCTTGAGAAACAGAAATGGAGGCCCATAATGTTCATGTTGGGCTTGAGTCAAAGTACAAAGTATATTGTTATTACTTTGATTCAAGGGCTCCATTAAAGCTCTGCTGTTACTGCTGGCTGACAAAGGGTAAAAACCATGTCAAACCTGGCCAGCATAATATTTGCATTAAATTTTCAGACCTCAGTACACCCTGTTGGTTGGACAGCATGCAGGCTCTGTCTTCAAGTCAAGAAAGCACACCCACCATGAATATCAATCAAGCCAGCATCATGCAGTAGAATATAAAACCACATGTTCAGCTGTCCATACTAGCTGCCATGCAAATCACAAAGCATTGCCCAATCATTACAGAGGAAGCAGGAAGCACTAAGAAAGCATTGGGATATGGCTGCTGATGCATGGTGAAGTACAGCTGGTATGTGCTGTTTGTGGGGGCTGGGTTTTCCAACAGCATTCCTGCAGTCCCTGAAGGGTGTTTTAGAGAGCATGTATGCAATCTGACTGTCAGTTCACCGGCCCTCAGGATGACCGCAGGGTAAAGATAAACCCACTGCAAAGTTTCCTTCATTTTGGATGGCACCTAAGCCTGGGGCATAGCCACAAGATGTTTTCTGAAGTGTGGATAGGCACCAGTCTGCAAAACAATCCATCCACCTTGCTGAATGCTTATGTGACAGTGTGATGAACATTGAACACACATGAGCCAAAAGCAGGCAAGTCCTAGATGTACCAAATATGAAGCCATTTTTCCTTGGAATAACCAGGAATACTTCAATATTGTGTCACCTTAGCAACATCATAAATCCTTTAAAAAATGTTTTATATGCTCTAAAATTGGATGCAAACATCCACCACACAGTGTTGTAGTGCACACAGAGTACATACATACAGTGTTGCATGTTTTGCTGGGGTCAACACAGGTACAGAGGTGCAGAGAATTTGTATGAAAGGCACCACTTTACAGCTGACTTCAAGATTATGCAATACAACAAACTACATGCACCACAGTCGCAACAATACCCTGAGGACAACCAATCATCAGAAACCTATCAGCTGCAAGGCACAGATAAGCATACACGCACGCACGCACGCACGCACGCACGCACGCACGCACGCACGCACGCACGCACGCACGCACGCACGCACGCACGCACGCACGCACACACACACACACACACACACACACACACACACACACACACACACACACACACACACACACACACACACTCACACATGACACTGAAATGGAGAACTTTGAACAAAATTGTATTTAATGAATGCACTTACCGCAAATGGGTCTGCAAATGGGTTGTCATCAAATCCAGACATCTTGACAGAAATGCTGGGGTAGGTTTAGCGTGTTTTGTGTGATAATGAGACAATAAATAGATTCAGCGACACAGATGCACTGCAGTATGTGACGCCTACGCTAAATCAACTTAGTCCGCTACGCTCGGTCCGAGCTGTACACAGGCTGTTATGGGAGTGATCTTGCTACGCCAAAATTCTTCTATTCGCCTGGTTTCGGCCCAGTGGTTTCACACAAGGATATTTCCACCTTATACACAACCTAATGGATTGCTTTTTACAAAACCACGCCAAATATTGCAGGCGCGGCGTCCCCCACACCAGCCGTGCGAAGAGAACGAATGTGCCCTCCACAATTCATCATCTTACTGCGCCAGTATTGCCGAAATTCAAGGGACTCCTAAAAGATCTCCACATCTTGGCCACACGATGCTCACATATGACATCACTACCACATGTCATCTAATATGAGTCGATCCATGAATTCATCTCTGGAAATGGAAGCAGCCTCATTATTTTCTTAATTCAATTTTTCGAAAAATTATGACACAATATATGAATAGTCTACAATCAGCACAATGGCTAGAGCCTATATTCAAGGGTGTAACGCTCTCATGATGAAGCGTGTAGGAACGGCGCAGTGGGGACGATTGGCTGCGCATGCGGTGTCGTCTGGCGAGAGCGGAAGTGGTTGATTTTGTCTTAGGAGTTAAAAGGGTCGGTTCCTGCAGTAACTTATTGTGCGTTGCCAAAAATGTCCGGACAACCTCATTTAGCTAAGCAGAGTTTAGTGGATTTGGTAAGTCGGATTATTTGGACCCATGCTGCCAACATTGCGCTTCCGTCGTATTCCCCTGTTGGTAAAAGATGATGTAATTTTACCATATGGGTTATATTCGTTTGAAAGCATGGTTTCTTTTGTTTCTTTATCATCTCTTTTGTATTGCTGGTCCAATTTATGCTTGGAAAGCTTTTTTGGCATATTACCTATTTCAGAACCCGGAAGATTATCACAGATGTTTTAGTTTGTCATATCCATTTTCTTATGTGCAGCATGAGCAAGTCTGTTTGGTCAGTAATTATATGACTGAGGCATAGGTGCATGTCATGGAAACATGAATATTATTTCAGTAAGGATTGAATTTGATACTTTATTTTGTAATGGAACTGCTGGTGTAGTTCTACTGTACAACACCCAACATTGATGCCAGCCTTTCACCAGTCTGCAAAAAAAAAAATCCCTTCACTGTTCTGAACACTTATGTGATGTTACAGCACTGAGCCTGGAGCATGTTTTTACTGTAGTTGGGCCAAGTCATATGACTTACATTCTCAACTTGGTTTTGCTTGAAATTATATTGTGAGATGTTTTTTTGCTACAGTTACTTTATGAGCATCATAGTTACTTAGAGCATTTCATGTTCAGCGTAACATGTTGTTTTTGCGGCCTGGGCCCTTCATCAGTAGGTTTACAGGGTCATGTACAGGATTTGCAAGATGAAGGATAAAACCCAAAGTTTTGCTGCAATGCCCATGTAATTCAATGTAAGCACATGCTCTTGAATGGTGCGTAACAGCTTCATATGTTTACTATGTTCCGGTTTTCAGACATGATTAACTCATATTTTATGGTCAGAATGTACTTGTGTCCATGCGATGAGATGACAAAACATGTTAAGACCATGTGCTCCTAAATGCCTGCTTGGCTATGCCTCCATTAAATTGTGTGCAATATGTGAAGTATGGCACATTGACAACATGCATTGATGCAGAGCATATACTAGTGATAGGATACTCCAGGCACAGAGTGTGGACATCACCCCCAGAAGGAGTTGCAACTTTAAAAACTGGTGCTGTCAAGCCACTGGAAGTCTACATGGGTTGTGGGGGGGGGGGGCTGATAGCTTTTCAGAAAGTTGAGGGGTCAGAGCTCCAGATCCCTCTGATTTGTGTGCTCTCTGGTCCCTAGCACTTTACCAACACCAGCTAATAATCAGATGCCTTGGGTACTTTACTCCTCATAGTGACCATTCACTGCCCCTATGAGGGATCATCTCTGGCCAACCTGCACCCAAACATCAGTTAGCTCATGCAGATGACACACTGCTTAGCACATTGGCAATGACTTTATCATGTGATGCTGGCTCAATGTGGAAAAACTGGACACTAGCTGTGGGTGGACAAACTACAGCCATGTTGGGTCTTCTCTAAATGACAGAGCTGTGACTAGTAACACTGCAGTCTGGATTGCCCATGCACGTCTGTCGTTCGCGGTTCGTGCTGAACTGCAACCAGGAGCTGGAACATTGTGATGGCTAATGTATCTTAGGTATTGTTCTTGTGGGTTCATCAGGACGTTGTGTATTGGGTAGGTACTGGCCCAGGTAACCTGTAATTGGTAAATTAGTCGGGAAAGAATGGTGGGTGGTTGCATGGGTTCCATTCTTACATGCAAACAATGCAAGACATTATTTCCCGATTCCAAACAAGTCCGGCCGATGAACATTGCCAGTGTATGCGCTGCTCCAGCACTGTCACAGCCGGTATAGTACCAGCACTGATATCGGGTAAGGGTAGTACCAAAATATTACACCCGTTTGTGTCGTACCATGTTAAGAGATGAGCACCAGGTGCACATGCTCTCATCCCCCATACATTTTATATTCAGTAATTTGTACGGGATTAATATCGACAATTACAAAATCGAGGGAGCCACACAAAAATGAATGCAACTAAATTTTGATGTATTAGGTGCATATGGCGGGCAAAAATGGATGTGTCGGGGAAATTTCGAGTTGTGTGCCTCCCCTCCCACAACACTCTTCCATTCTGTAAGTCCAAGAAGATGTTAATCGTTGTGCCCCACCAGGCTGGACCCAGTCTTATTTTTTAGTCATTTCAAATGAAGGGAGGTGTAACACTTGAGCCGGGCAGCATTTTCCAGCAGCAGTGCATTGAGATTCTGGACATAGTTTGTGGATGGCACTTGTATGATCTCATGGTCGCGATAATTTCCAAAAGAAAGTGACTATGACCTTGCCAAACGTCGATGTGGCCGGCACCGTTTCCACCAACACAGAATACCACTAGTGTGCTTGTCGTCCCTGTAGCGGCGACAAGTGCGCGGCGAGGTCGATGATTAGCGGTAAAACGTATTCATAGAAGATGACGCGGTAAAGTCTGTTAAATTACCAGTATCACTGTATTCGCGCGTTTGCTGCGACAGGTAATGTGGTTTGAAGGTTGAGGAAGATTAGAATGAGTGTTGGTGGAAATAGGTGTAGATATAAGGTATGAGACCATTCTAACGCCAATTGTAATGCTTCAGGACATCGGAAAGCTGCACCCACTGTCACCTGAGGTTATTAGCAGGCAGGCGACCATCAATGTAGGTAAGTTCAGCATTTATAGAATATAGACACTGACTTGGTAAACGGACATCATCAGTTTACAAGTGTGGCAATGTTAAGGTCTCACACACAAGCATGTTTGTGCTTCATGACATACTGACTTGTAACATGACCCGTTCCTGTATGCAGTCATTTTCTTTGTTGGTAGCTGCGCGAGCAAAGCACTGGTTGCAGTAATCGGGGTCGCCAATTTCTATATCACTACGGTGGCTTGCTTCAGCTGTTAAATAATTTTCCTCCTGTTTCGCACCTGCCCTGACCATCACCGTTTTGCCTTCGTGGTACGCCAGTGAATGCTCGCCTAAGGGACTAACGCTGGTGCATTGCAAGAGTGCTGGTTTGGTGTGATTAAACCCTGCCCGAATTAAAGTATGACTTTTTTGGTACCTTTCATTCATAAAACCGACATCAAATGGTGAGTGAGCGAGTGAGGTATCACCAGTTACAACATCCAACGAGCTAGCGGCGCTTCTGGTGTTGACCGTCACCTCGCCGCTGACCTGGGCCCTCGCCGTTGACCTGGGCCCCGCTGCTGACCGTCACCCCACTGCTGACCTGGGCCTCGCCGCTGATCTGGGCCCCACTGCTGACCTGGGCCCCGCCGCTGACCGTCGCCTCGCCACTGACCTGGGCCCCGCCGCTGACCTGGGCCCTCGCCGTTGACCTGGGCCCCGCTGCTGACCGTCACCCCGCCGCTGACCTGGGCCCTCGCCGCTGACCTGGGCCCCGCTGCTGACCGCCACCCTGCCGCGGACCTGGGCCCCACCGCTGACCGTCGCCTCGCCGCTGACCT